GTAATTGAGAGTTATGCCCAGATTACTGACTGTCGCCAAAACTGTGCAAAATCACCCGATTTGCCCTGTTTTCTTCCAATTGCCTTCTTTATTGCCCTGAATCGAAATACAAGAGTAATGAGTCCATTTAAGTGCTAAATTAATGTAAAAGAGTGAATATTAGGGGATAAAAATAGGGTTCTTTTTGGTCTCATCACGCGGACTGCTTTTCTGGGCTCATCCTTGTCTAGGGAGACCGAGACGAGGTCCTCGGCCGGCTAGCCTCGACTCGTTGGCTCCTCCCTGAGGTGGAGGCCCTATAGTGGCAAGGTTCCTTTATTCTTGCCCTTCAGTACTACCACATAGCACTAGCGGGCAGCATGCTAGTCCCCTCGAACAACTCCGATGCCATGCTCGGTGGGGAACTTGAGAGCGAGGTGGTAGGAGGAGATGGCTACCTAAAGCGCGTAAAGGGTTGGTCTCCCCATGATTGCATTGTAGGGTGAGCCAATCCTCACGACCAAGAACTTTGTCATCCTTGTCACCTACTGGGGCTCCGTCCCTATTGTGAGGGGTAGGGTGATCTTGCCCTCTGGTCTGACAACGTTGCTGGAGAAGCCAACTAGTGAAACATCTACTGGCTGAAGGCGCTCTGTCGCTATCTTCATCTTTTCAAAAGCTTCGTAGAAGAGGATGTCGGCCGAGGAGCCGCTATCAATGAGAATCCTCCTAACTACAAAGTTTGCAATGATGGCCGAAACCACCAAAGCGTCATCGGGGGAGACTGCTATCCCCTTCAAATCCTCATCTGTGAAGGAGAGGGTCTCTTTCCGCTTCTGCTTCTTGGGGGCCGGCCCCTGGATGTTTAATTGCCTAGCGTAGGCCTTGCAAGCCGAGGCCGAGGCTCCACCCAAGGTCGTGCCTCCGACTATGACGTTGATGACGCCAGCTACTTTCTGATGTTGTTGTTGCTTCTGTTGAGAGTACGAGGCGCTAGCCTCGCCCCCAACGTACTGCTTAAGGTGGCCTCGACATGTGAGGGACTCTATCAAATTCTTGAGATCGGCAGTCCTCAGTTTCGTGGCCAGTGCCTCGGTGAAATTTGCAGTACTTCTTTGGGTTCTCCCTTCGGGGATTCTTCTTCAACTTCTCAAGCCACTTCATGAATTTGTCCTCCCCAATCTACATCAGAATCTGCGTGCGGGTGGAGTTGAGTGGCGTGTACTGGTTGTAAGCCAAGGCCGAAGCCAGTAGCTTCCTACTGTTGTTGTTGGTGCCGTTGTTGTGGTCGTGGTTTCCATTCTTTCTCTTCTTTTCTGGGGCTCCGCCCGGGTGCTCGGTGCCCTTTTCTTGAACATCCCCAATTGGAGCCTCTTTCACTGCGATATACTTCTAGGCCCTCTCAAGGAACTTCAGTTTCGTCTTCGGTTGGCTTTTAGCGATTGAGCACTTAAGGGTTGAGTCAGGGAGGAGTCCGCTGATGGCAGCATGCATGGAAACCATGGGGTCGAGATCACAGACCTCGAGCTCTTCCTTCTTGAAGTGGTCAATGTACGACCGTAAACTTTCTCCTCGCTTCTACTTGACTGTCATTAGTGATACAACACTCTTTTGGGGGCGTCGGCTGCTGATGAAGCGGGCGAGGAACAGGTTGGAGAGTTGCTCCCACAAGTTAATGGATCGAGGTGGGAGGCTTGAGAACCACCGTCGAGCAGCTCCCTAGAAAGTTCGGCATGTCAAGGCATCGAAATATCCATACAGGATCATGAGTGCCCTAAAGCTCTCTAGGTGGTCGTCCGGGTCTCTGTTCCCGTCGTACATCTCCAAGGTGGGAGCTTTGAAGTGTGGAGGTAATGGCTCGGCGATGATGTCGGGGGAGAAGGCATCTATCCTCCCCATAGAGTTACTCTATCTGGTTGAGGTGTTAGTTTGTCTCTCCTTGACTTGTCGGAGCTCGGCTTTGATAGCGCTGAGCCCTACTCGTAGTTCGGCGAACTGAGGGTCAGGCGTGGCCTGCGCACCCTCCCGGTCTTCGCGAACGCGGTGAGGGTCGATGCGGACCCCGGAGTGTTCTAAGGCAAGACCTCGCGCCTCGCACCTAGCGCGGCGATTGTTAAGGATGTCCCAGAGATCCAAAGTGTGAGGGGAAGAGGCTCGGCGTCGGACCTCAGCCCTAGAGTTGGCACTAGGGCAATCGTTATGTTTGCCTTTGTCCCTCGAGTTTGCCCTTCAGCACCACTGGTGCTGCTCAGAGGGCGAGTGGCTATCCTCAAATTGTGCAGGTTCCTCCTCCCTTTGACTGGGAGGCTGGGAGTTCCTAGGATGTGGGCTGGCTGGGTGACTGCTGCTAGACTCAGAGGGGTCGGTTTGTTGAACGTGGCCAAGGCCGAGGGCTGGCTGGCTCGTGGACCCATGCCAGCCTGGCTATGTTGATTCCCCGGCAGGGCGGTCACCCTGGGGGGATCTCCTGCCTGGGGGTAGCTCTTCTCGACTTGTTGGGTTAAATACTCCAAGCAATTGAGCATGGCCTGGAATTGTTCATTAGTGACAAGGTTTTGGGTATTCCTGGTTCTTCGTACCATGGTGATTTGAGCTTAAGGACTCCTTAGTTTGTCAAAGTTCTTTAGGGGATCGTCTTAACAATGGATTCCCATAGACGGCGCCAATTGTTGATACTCGGATTGGCCGAGGACAACAAAGTAATTTTGCCCCTGAGCTCTAAAGGTGGGCTGAAGGCTTCGAGGGCTCGGGTATGGTATGCCGATGCCGAGGACTTGTAGAAGCCGAAGGCTAGTAGCCGAAGTGCTGCAAGACAGAGGATGTCAGAGGCCCCAGGTGAGACCCGAGCCGGAGACTCTAACAATCAAGTTAGTACGAGTGTACGAAGAAGGGAATCAAGTGCAGACGAGGGCTCTAAGGAGACAACTCGTAGGCAYTGAGTTCCCAAGATGAATGTACTGAAGTTCTGTTAGGATTCCGCCCCTTCACCAGGAGGGGGTATCCCCTATTTATACCTGAGCTGCCCAGAGGTTGGTGGAGATGAACGCTCGAGATAGGAGTCGTACGAGGGTAATCAACGGGCTTTCTGGGGATGCGTGGACGCTCCGAGATTGATTCCATGCAAGGGGTAGCAGGGTAGCCCCTGCTGGGCCATCCCACATCACATCTCAAGGAATTGTTCAACCTAAAAGGTTAAGTTGTTAGATGAGATCCCAKAATAGATTTTTATTATCTAACATGCCACCTCAAGCTAAAAGCCCTTTGGGCGTAAAGTATAAACAAACACAAGCCCACCCATAAAAGCTTTGATACCATATGGGTTTCCATAATAGGTAATTAATTTGATCAAGCTTCATAGAGATGACATTCATGAAACTAGAGGGGGAGACCACAGTTATGGTGTGGCTTGATGACAAGAAGTCCTCTGAATTTGGGTAGAGGTATTGGAAGCCATGATCGAAGTAGTTAGAGAAGTTAAACAACATTGGTCAATTGGCTTTGATACCATGAGCACTCAAGGTTGAGTGGTGAAAGCTTAGCACAATACCGCTGTTCTATTTTTGGTTATAAAGAGTTTTGCATGGGTGGGTGACCAACAAAAGGGAACATAGAGATGAAGATGGTTGGTTGCCAAGGGGAGAGATCATACTCAACCAGATCTTGCTTGGGTGACCCACGTAAGCAAGTGTGTTAATGGACCCAGTTTTGGATTGGACCCGTCCAAATCAAAATCAATTTGAATTGATTGAATGAATTAATAAGACATATTGAATTGGACCAATCCGAACTTAATGGTCCAAAGTATTTATTGAATGGGATTTCAACATAGTCTATCCATAATGGATTTATATTGGACCAATATCCAATCCATTTATAAAAGAAAACAATGCAAGTGTGTCAATAAACCAGGCTTAGGTTAGAACTAATCTAAATTAAAACCAATTTAAATAGATTGGACGGTCCTAACATTGAAGTGGACTGATCCAAAATATCCAATGTATCCATTGAATTGGATTGGACATGATCCACCTGTAATGGACTGACTCATATTGGATCAGATCCGGTTCCAATGACACCCCTACACGTAAGATCATCATCGGGGCTCATGCAAATTAAAATAATAATGCATGATACATTATTAGAACCTACAAGAGGCACAAGCACAATACATTATATATTGTATTACAATATTTTAACCTCAATTTTAATTTCATTTTGATTTTATTTGTCTATACTAACTACTAAGGACTCTTCACTCTTCTACTGTTCTATTTAAATAGGGAAAACCCTAGCATGAAGCATCAAACCAAATGGTCTAAAGAGACCCGACCATGCTGAATTTGTGAGACCATATTGGATGGTCCTGATCTTATGAAGCTCAACCACAAGGTAGAGTTATGACGGCCCAGACTGCAACTAGCAATCCTGTGTTCCTACTATTAGATGATTAGAGTAGCAGGTGGGACCCAGTCGTTGGCATTTATTGTCTAGTCCCCGACTTCACATCTCCGCCCCACAGGGGGCCGCCCACGCCCCACATCACATCTCTGCTGTACATTGGGAATATCTCCCAATGATAATACCACTCCTCATCATCGAAAAATATTCTCAATATACGGCGAAGATGTGCTGTGGGGCGGCCCCTTGTGAGGCGGAGATGTGATCTCCTAGTCCCCACTCCCCACTACCATGTAATGTAAAGAACCATGGATCAACGGTTTATCCAACGTTGTCATAACGTCCAACAGCCATCGTGAAAGGAAAGCAGTGAAGAAGCTTCCTTGTGTCAGGGCCCCTTGTATCGCTACTCTTAGACTCCTATATACGTCGATCACATTTTCACCGTTGGATTGGAATCATCAAGCAAATGAGGGATAATTTCGTAATTTTAAAGATCTACCAACTCATCACCGAGATCTTCGGCTTCTTACAAAGATTCTTCGTAACACACAAGCACTGCTTCCGCTTCCTCGACGACTACAGACTACAATCCGCTGCAAGTCAACCTTCCTGTTTTTGATTGTCTTACAAACCAAGGCAATCGCCAAATCCGCCATTTCTTTTTCATCAAAATTCGCAAGAACAGACCGAAATTTTCTTTCCATTTCCCGCCCACGGAACCCTAGAAATCTAATCTGCTGTAGCTACCAGCAGCAGCAGCAGCAGCTCCCAGAGCTTCCCGGAATGAGAGCTCAGAAGCCAAGAGAACTGCAAGGAATCCTGTTTTGATGGTCAGTAGTTCTTCATTTTTTCTCCTTGAATTCCTATTGGGTTTTCGATTCTGCGGCGGATTTCGATTTAGGTGGGGGTGTTCGGTAGGATTTGGCGGTTGCCCTGGGAAGAGTTTTGTAATTCCAGTGGAGGACGTTGTCAATGATGCCTCCTAGAAGGAAGAAATGGACGGAGGAAGAGGAACGAACCTTGATCGACAAGTACGGAGAGATGCTCTCCGATGGAACCCTAGCCAAAATGAAAACACGGGAGAAGAAGTTCCGTCCCATAGCGGCGCAGGTTAATTCGATGCACCATGCTCGGGACCCCGTGGCTTTCCCTTGGCTATGGTCTTGGAAGGATGCCTCCACCAAGGTGCAGAACATGAGACATCAGTACCTACTTGTCAAGCAGAAAATTAAAAAACCTTCTGTTGGCGTCACGGGGGATGGTTCTTCCGGCGAGCAGCCGGAGGAGTTTGATTGGGTGGAGGGTCTTAGTCACTGGTCCAATTTCCTTAGATACAAGGATGTTTTTGGAGATGTTACACTGGGGTCTCCTAACATTGACCAGATGACGGCGGTGACAGCTGGGAATCGGGAAAATGGTAGGAGTTTCGCCGGGAAAGGTCGGCCAATGGATGTCATGCGATATGGGCATCTTGGACCTTCGCCGGAAGGGGGTTTTGGGGTAGGCATTGATGGTGGTGAAAATGGAATTTTGGGTTTAGGATTAGGGTTTGAATACGATGGGGAAGAGGCTGATGATAATAACAATAATAACATCAATCATGGGAAGGAGGATGGGGAAGATGGCTTTGAGTATGAAGAAGTTGACCCAAATGGCTTGGAGACGAGGCAGAAGAGGAAGAAGTTGAAGGGACTGGAGAAATGGGCATGGTCATTTTTAGTAAATCAGCTTGCGCAGTTGAGGGAAAGGGAAGCTCGGTTTGAAGATCGAGAGGTTGAGAGAGATAAGGAAAGACAGAGAAAAGAACAATTTCGTGCAGAGCTTGAACAGAAACGTGAACGGAGGTGGGAGGAAAGGGAGAGGGAGAGAGAGGAGAGGGAGCGGACCAGGGAGAATTTGAGGAGGGAGAGGCTTAAGGAATGGGAAGCAATGGAAAAGGAGAGTGCAGAAAGGGAGAGAAGGAGGAGGGAGGAAGAGTTGATGGAGCAGAGGGAATGGGAGGAGAGGATGGAACGGAGGAGGTTGGATTGGAAGAAGAGAATGGATGATATGTTAAGTCAACATCGGGCAGCAATGGACCAGATTCAGTCCCGGATTCTTCATGACCAGCAGGCCCTTACTAGTCAGTTGCTTGGGATTGTTGCACAATGGACAAGTCATCCAGCAGGCCTGTCCGACCATACTGGAGCTGGGAACCCTTATCTCTCACAAATGATACAGAATTTGCACCATGTAAATGGAGTTGTTCATGGGGAAAATAGGGTTGATGGAGATAATGATCAATTTATTGTTGATGGATGATTTTCTGCACTGGATCCATGAGTTAGGGTGTTCATGATTGTGGTAAAGTAAGTTGTAGAGTTTGAAGGAAGATCAAATACATTCTGTAATATGTAATTTCTATTGCATATATTTATACTAATCTGGTCAGTTTGAATCTGCAAATTTTTTAACCTTACCTTTATTCCAATTTTGGATGTAAAATGTACCTTTATGTTGGATATTATTCAAATTTTTTAATGGAATATTATTTACTTCTTTGTCTATTTATCTCTATTCTCTCTGTGACCTATTTCTTTTTGTTTCAAAAAATTTAAAAGTAGGGTGAAAACAAAAGGACCATATTAGGTCCCTCATTGTATGTATACAACATTTAACTTTCCATGACTTCCATGGAATGGGGATTTACATTTTGTTATTGGTAACTAATTATTTTATTAATTCAAAGAAGTAGTTATATTAATCTGAACCGAACTCCTTATAATTTATGAGTACAAGTAAGCCCAAAAGAACTGTTTCCTGGAAACTCCTTGCTTGGCTAGAGAGACAGACAGCACATTTGCAGATCCTTAACCCATTTGAAAGTGACCTCCACTTCTCTTGCTATCTTCCACACTTCTCATCAYCCATCCCACGACTAACATTGAATCCCCTTCGACCTCAATTTGTCTTAAGATTGAGTTGCTTAGCTAGTCTTAAACCTTGAAGTAGAGTTGAATTTTTTGTTGCTAGTGAATCACCAACCCCTATCGGTCCCGAGAAGAGAGCTACTATAGTACCCATGTCATCCAAATCTCCCTTTATTCTGGATGGACCTAGGTTACCAAACGAGCTTCCATCCAAGTTCAATTTAATTCTGTTAGTATTTGGAGGAGCCCACTCTTCTTGCACCATCACCTTCAGGGTGGATGAGGCTGCTATCACCTTCCTTCCTCCCATGAAGTCATCCACTTTAAAGTCATTAAAAATCTCCAACGGAGGATTCCATCTAGAGCCAAAAAGAGAGCAAGAGTGCATCCAAGCATGAGACACAAATGAACAAGAGATTAGATGGGGAATAGTCTCACCATTGGCATTGAACAGGATACAGATATGGAGTGAAAGGCAAGATGTTGGGCCTCCTTTTTTGGAGAATGTCATCCATGTTAATCTTCCCATGCACTACCTCCTAACAGAAAACTTAAACCTTAGGGGGGACTGGCCTGCATGACACCTCTTTCACAGGAAAAGGGCAGCTGAAGAAGAAGAATGTAATAACAATTTTTTTTTTTTGAAAAGTAAAGTAAGGATTTTATTAATTCAGAAAAGACTCATTACAACAGGAGAGCTAACCAAAAATGGCTACTCAGAACACAGAACAGGTTACAGAACCCAAATTGATTTAGATCTAAATAGCTCAGGAACATTCAAGTTTTTTAAATCAGGGGCTACAGACACCCAAGAAATCAGCTTGCTAACTACCTGCTGCACAATCTCCTCAGTGCTCTTTGATTTGTTGCAGAAGACTCTTCTATTCCTTTCTGACCAGATTACCCAAATCACAGCCGTAGGAATGGTTCTCCATATTACTTTTCCCTTGTTCTTCAGGCCTTGAATGTCCTAGCAATGCAGCAGATCTTTAACTGACTTTGGCATGACCCAACAAAGACCAACAGCCCCTATAAAATGAAACCAAACTCTGGAAGAGATAGGGCAATGGATACACAAATGGTCTGTGAATTCAGGCAAAAGACCACACAAACCACACAGCAGAGAAGGGAGATGAAGACCCCTTCTATCCAGATTGATTCTTGAGAGGCATTTGTTCAGCACCATTGTCCACACAAGGAAGTTAGACTTCGAGGGAGAACTAGAATTCCACACTTGATAGCAGGGAAAGTCAGTAACCCCTGTTCTACTGAGCTTGTAAGGGATTTGACTGAGAAGCAGCCATCCCTACTCCAGGACCAAGTCCATTCATCTTCACTATTAATATCTATAGTCTGCTCCTGTACTATCTGCAATAGCTGCAGCACCTCATCTATTTACCAATCGAACAGATCTCTTCTAAACTGAGGATTCCATACCACTGTATTGTTAGACAAAACATAGGACTCCGCCACTGAAATTTCCTGGTTAGCTGCACATTGGTAGAGAAGGGGAAAAGCCTCTGCTAAGGATCTGTCCAAACACCAGGGATCTTTCCAAAAATTTCAGCCTACCACCATTTCCCACCTTAAATCTCACACCTTCAGACATCACAGGAAGACATTTAAGAATCCCTTTCCAAACCGAACAACCCCAGTTTGTGAACGGATCCTGAGACTTCCAATTTCTCCAATCCACCCCATACTTTGAGGCAATTAAGGACCTCCACCAAGAGAATCTTTCTGTAGCAAACCTCCAACACCATTTACACAATAGAGCAGAATTTACCACCTTCAACCTTCTTAGGCCCAGACCCCCCTCTGCTTTAAGCAAACAAACTTGGTCCCAATTCACAAGATGCATTTTCCTCTCTTCTTCCCATCCCCTCCAGAGAAAATTTCGCTGCAAATTCTCAAGCTTCTTCGCTATTTTAGATGGAATGGGAAAAAGGGACATGAAGTAGGTAGGGGAGGTTTGCCAGTGTACTTTTGACAAGGGTCACTCTCCATTCTATAGACAAATACTTAGCCTTCCAAGAGGCTAGTTTTTTTCCCACTCTCTCATTGACTAGATCCCAGATTGTAGAAGAAGAACACTTAGCTCCTAGGGGAAGGCCTAGGTACTTCACCGAAAGGAATTCCACCTGGCAAGCCATCAACCTTGCATAGGTTTCCAGATTTGGAACAGGGCCCACTAGAATGATTTTGCTTTTATGAAGATTTACTTTAAGACCTGAGACTACTTCAAACCAGCAAAAGATTCCAAGTAATAACTCCAACTAATCCGATGAGGCATCAAGGAAACAGAGAGTATCATCAAACTGCAATAAATTGACTTTTCCTGCTTCCGGGGCTATAGCAAAACCTTCCCACATACCATTATCTGCTGCCTTAAGGGAAAATTGGGACAGGATTTCTGTTATGCAAATGAAGAGCAAAGGGGATAGAGGTCCCCCTGCCTAAGGCCCCTAGAACTTTCAAAAAACCCGCAGACTGACCATTAATCAACACTGAGAATTTGGGAGAGGAAACATACTTTGATCCAATTTCTCCATTTCTGACCAAAAATAATTTTCTCTAGCACACGATCCAGACACCTCCAGTTTACATGGTCATACGCTTTCTCTATATCCAGCTTAACTACAAGGCCTGGAGCACCCTCCCTTAATCTTGAATCAATTAGCTCATTTGCTATAAGGACAGAGTCAAGCATTTGTTTCCCCGGGACAAAAGCAAATTGATTTTTTGATATTACACTACTTAACACCTGTTTTATCCTTGCAGCCAGTACTTTTGCAAGAATTTTATAGAAACTATTCAAAAGGCTGATGGGTCTAAAATCCCTAAGGTTTGTATCCCCTTCTAATTTTGGGATCAATGAAATGAAGGTGGTGTTAAGACATTTTTGCAAGGATGCATTACTATGGAAGTCCTGGAAAACCTTCAACAAATCAGACTTAACAAAGTCCCTTACATTTGATGAAAAACAGGTTTTGTCACCATCCAAACTCCAGATTGCTGACTTAATTTCTTCTGAGAAAGGCCTCTCAAGAAGCTGACTCTGATCTGAACTTAATTGCTTGAATCTATCTCCATAGGAAAAGGTCTCTTGTCCCAGGTTTCCTTGTAAAGATTCTTATAGAAAGAGGTGGCTACTGATTTGATTTCTGAAGGAGGATCAAGAGAATACCCCTGTGGAGGAGTCATTCCAAATGAAATATTATGTTATTTCTGTTGTTGAGCTTTTTGGTTTCTTTTACCTTTTCCTCAATGGCAATGATTTCTGAACATGATTCAAATCTAAAATTTATGTGCTGATTGATAATTGCATTGAGTTGGAAACGGAAGCATCAAAATAAAACTACAAGCAGAAGTAAAATAACCAAGGATTAATAGATTTGAGAGATAGTTGTAACAGATAAGCAGATAAAATCTATGTAAAGGTATTTTCAGCTGCATCACAAAATTCCACAAATCCATATGGCACTTAATGCATGTGTGATGCTAAAATTCAAATCTCTTCTACCTTATTACTGCCAGCTAATAAGCACCCTTCAGTGTCAAGAAGAATGGTGAAAATAAAAGAAAATAAGAAAGGTATTTCTTAGATCCACCATCTCATATAGAACCACTTTTGCAGAAGCTCCCCATGTATGTGTACATCCACTTATTTCAGTCTTACATTTTGCAATTTGTGGTAAAGGACTTTGATGCTATGTTGAAAGGATTCTTCACCGTACCTGTAATTTGATATTCTTTGGTGCATCAATCCTGTTGAAAGTTATGCTCGATATTTATTCCACCACAACATGCATGTTGGATGAATTCCGTTGCTATAGGTTGTCTGTTTCACTTTTGAAGAGTCCAAATATTTCCTCAGTTCTATTTAACCAACCCAATGTATCTGTATTTGCAACTTACCCCCACTGCAAGATATGAATCTTATCACTAGCTTCCAATCAATCCCCAATAACCTCAATATACTCTTGTTAGGTGGTAGTTCTTGATTCAATGTAGCCAATCTGGCTCCACTTTCCTCTTTTCATTTGAGTTCTCCCCTCCCTCTTGAATTGATCCAGTCCAACAACACTCCTGTGTGTGAATGGAGGCCCCACTGTTGGGTTCTAGGTGATCTATTCATGCATTCAGGCCATCATGACAAAGTGCAAGGTTCAACTTCAACCAGACATGGGTGAGCAATTGCCACTTTTAGTTGACTTTCAAATCTAAAACTGCAGTGCTACTCCTTGTAGTCTGGATAGAGCACTTGGGGGGATTATTTCCTGTACCTTAACGTGTAACTGATTCTGGTCTCCAATGTCATTGAATGCCTAAACAGTAAATAGCACTACTTAATCCAAGAGTTAAATGATATTTATTGTGAAGACTTTAGTGTGTGTGTGTGTGTGTGTGTGTGTGTGTGTATGTATGTATACACTTCATACAAATGTCAAGCCAATCAATGCCAGAAAAACTCAATTTCATTGTCACTAGATCATCAAGATGATGCAGCTAGGCACAAATTAGCAAATGTATGTCCAATTAAGTTGAGAAGCCATCTATGATAAATAGATACCAGTACATGCCAAGCATATTGGTGTTGGACAGAATATTGTATCTGGTACTACACCAGATACTGCATGG